AACCCCTAAGCCCTAAAACCCCTAAGCCCTAAACCCCTAAACCCTAAACCCCTAAACCCTAAACCCCTAAACATGAGCCAGGCCTTGGTTCGGCTGTTGCAGAACTTGGGTCGGTCGAAGGAAGATGCCGCTGAGCGACTTGCAGAACAGCTGGGGTTTAGGGGTTTAGGGTTTAGGGGTTTAGGGTTTAGGGGGTTTTGGGGTTTAGGGTTTAGGGGGTTTAGGGGTTTAGGGGAGTAGTGTTCAGGGTTTTGGAGCTCAGAGATTTAAAGGGACCGTTGGTACACTCGGTTCCTACTGGGCTAGGATGCGGCGATTTCGGGTTCGAGGCGAGGTATGAGTGCGGGTAGGTTTCTGTGATGAGACTCAAGGATCTTAGTGTGGGAGTAGGTTTGATTTAGTGGGTTTCTGATGTTTTTCGGAGGTCTGCACCCTTTCTGTCTTGCACTTCTGTTCTGAGAATAGGCCTTCCTTGATCAGTTTGTGGGTTCAGGATTTACAGGGTTTTGCGTCAGAGGTAGCATGCTCACAAGTTATATATAGCTGCTGGGCAAGTAGGAGGAGAAACAGGCTAGGACTTTCGGGGTTCTTGATGTCAACAAAAGTCGACAGCCGAGGTACATGTTCAGGAGCCTCTATCATGATGATTTCAAAGGAGGTGGCTTCTACATCGTGAACCAGTACGGCGAGAGCACTGAAACGCTGACGAGCCTCCACAAAGAAGCCAAGGACGCTGTCTGGAGCCACAGCAAAGAGATATTGGCGAAGTTTTGACGGCGTCTGCCCTCATCAGCCTGGTTGCCATCCAGGGCCCCAAAGTTTTCAAGGAGACTTGCTTGAGGGAGCGCGGGCCCGAACAAGATTCGCCTTTATTTTTCTGTAAATTTCGGTATTCACGACAGCCAATTTTCGGATGGGCCAGTATATTCCTAATAGCGCTCGAATGGCTGAATTCTATTCTTAAATTTTGCTTGGATTCAATAGAACCAGTTAAATTAGCTTAATGCGAAATCTGCTCATGACACAGAATTTTCGAAAATAATTTAGATACGATCGTCATATTATATCGACAAAAAACGATGGCGAACTCTATTATGATAACATCTTTTTTTCATTATATTCATATAGGAGAATTTTTTAAATATTTTAAAATGATACTCATTATGTGGAAAGGAATTAGATGAATTAAAAGAAGATTAGATTCATTAATATATATATATATGTACTTGTAGAAATTATTGAATTCTATTATATTTGTATAGTTATAGGTATGATTATATTTCTTGGTGTAAGAAATATTGAAATTAGTTGATTAGGGTGTATAAGTATATATATATATAATTATGATTTTGAGGTTCTGAAAAAATATTCTAAATTTATGATTTTAAATTGCAAAAACAAATAGATAAAAATCTTAGAATATTGATAATATATATACTGATTTATTATATTAGATTTTAAAATATAAATTATTGGTATGAATATATATATATATTTCTATTTTATTTATAGTATGGAATTCTTAGGGCATTCGTTTTTTATTTATTGAAAATATAATTAATTATCTGTATTTTATAATTATATTGAATAAGTAAAATATTAAGAAGATTAGATAGTAAATAAAGAAATTTAATGATGATTTTAATTTTGATTCGATTTTTATTTTGTGATATTCTCTATAATATATATTTTCGTTATAAATCTAGGATGATATTCTGATGATAAATATATATATATACATATATTTATTTATCGATGCTTCTAGAATATTCTTCTCGATCTACTTATTCGTCTTTAAGTTTTATTCTACGATATTTTGGGAACTTACAATTTGTTACCTATCTATCGGCGATAATTTCTTGTTATTTCGCCGCATTAACCATCGCAATTATCTGAATTTAAAAAACATATTTTTTGAGATTAATTTCGAATTTTTGCATAGCTATTCCACGACACTTCGGATAAATTTCTGCCAGATCTTCGACTTATATGATCTCATTCTAGATTAAGCGCTATACTTAGCTAATGATTTGACTATTATCGAATTTTAGAATCTGAAAAATTTTCATTCAAAAAAAAGGGATTAGAAAAGATTCATATTTAATTTCGCGATAAAATATAGCAAAATATATTAGAATGAAATAGATCTTCTTAGATATTAAAATTATGAATAATATAGATCATATAATATTATATATAGAAATTACGATTTGTTCTTCTTTATATTATAAGAAGATCTATATTATTTATACGACATTATATGAAAATATTCTAGCACGAAAGAATTAATTACAAATTATCTATATTTAAATAAAATAAAGAATTTATATATGAATATAAGGGCGCATAAGTATATAGATATATATAGATACAAGTAGATTCAGGCAGATATCCAGAGACCCGTAAAGACCCATCTATACTGATGGATTTCGACAAAGACAAGAGGCCGAGGCAGCAAAGTGGGATGGAAGGGGAACTGATATATGAAATAAAATGATACTGATAAATATGATAATAATGATAAAAATTAAAATGAAAATTTTGAGCCTAAGATATCAGACCAAAGAATGATATATAATAATAAGAAGAAATGATCTGTAAAGAAGAATGATTTCAGCTCCTTCTTTTACCAGATTTAAATGAATGACGAAATACGAAATAAAATCAAAAATTAACGAAATATGAGTTCCTCGCCAGTTGCCCACGACTGGGCCCAGGCGCAGGCAAGGCAGACGCAGACAAGGCAGAAATATTTTTAGCGGAGTCTCTCATTTCTTCTCTTCTTATAATAGAAGAAGAATGACCTTCTATTCCTATATATTAGGAAAATTCATTTATATAGAATCCCGTATTGAGACGATTATAAGCAGTCATAAATTTAATTATAAAAATGATAATTATATCAGAGATATAATTTGAAATCACGCCAGAATCGTTGAAATTAGAAGATTTCAAATTAATCCATAAATCCTTGCGGCCTAGAATGCCCTAATATAGATTTTATTATGACAGATCCAGATATAATCTATTCATTCATGATTTTGGAATAGGGTCAGGATTAGGAATTATCCTTCATTTGGGCACGCTGGCCTCTAGAAGCGACAAAAAAATAGAGAAAGCTGATCAATTATCCGCACAAAAGACCAGATCCGAATTTAAAGAATAAATTAAAGATTTAAAAATAAAACAAATTTTCTAACTACGCAACGGCTCCAAGACCAACAACAAAGTTATTAACTTCTTCCCAAAATCGATAGAAAAAGAGAATTCGAACCCCTCGAAATTTCAACAAAATTTGTATCACTTATATAATACTAATTAAAATAAAGAAAAAAAAGAGATAATCGATTCTTTCTCGTAAGAAAGATATATCAAACATTCATCAATTTTTTTATATTTATTCATTCATTCATCGCAGATATTCATCAGAAAGATATAAATTATCTATTTTTTCTTTAGGCTCTAGTTATTAAATATTTGGGAGGTTGTCTAAATATCTTTGCCTGAATATGGTCGAAATGGTGTGTTCCTTCGGGCCCGCCTCATCTCTAAGAGAAGAGTATCGGTTGGCTCAATCGTACCATCAATATATGAAAT